CATCTCTTATAATCCTAATTTGGGATATAAACTTGGTATTAAATTTGTTTTTGTTTTGATTATGGTGGAAGTTGGAGCTTAGAACTTCTTGTGATTTGGTTGTATTAAACTTTTATTTTTGTTTATTATATTCTCTGAATTATGTTATGTGCATGTTATTTTTTATTTATTTATTAGGATACATAATTTTATTTATGTTGTGTCATTCCTAAGCTTTGCACATTTAAATAGCAGGAGTTTAAGTTCCAAAAAGTGGGAGAAAAAAATTTGTTAGTGGGGCGGGCACGGGGCACAGTATTTCCTAACGGGGCGGGATTGGATATGAAAATCCAACCCGTCGCGGATCTCGGGGCGGGCATGGACTTGATAAAAATTAAAAGGGGCGGGGCGGGATTTAGAGAAACCCGCTCTAAACCCGCCCCGTTGCCATCCCTACACCAAATCGAGTACCTTCTTGAATCCCAAATAGTTCCGAGTCTTACTCATAACTCAATATTTTAAGTTTTTGACCTTCTATGTTAATGACGTGGTAACTTAATTTATCTGTTAATTGTAAAATGTGGGCAATTTTGACTGATGTGGCATAGTCCGTTGACCATTTAATCACGCTATGTGGGTTATTGTCATTGATGTGGCGTTTGCCATGTGGACTACAGTATACTAACACCTACAAACATTAATATGCCACATCAACCAGGCGGAATCACTGATTGACACATAAACAATTGTGTAAGTTTTATTTCACTTTTTTTTAAAAAAATTTATAATTACATGTCTAAAATATATAAAAAATTATTATATGGTCTCGACCAATCACTATTCGATACCTAAATAAAAAGTTAAATAAAGTTCAACACATTTTTGATAGATTTGCTTAGATGTCAAATGATGATTGGTTTGGGGCTAACAATATCCTTGAAATCGTGTAATAATTTATCAAAATGTACTAGTACTGTCCTATATGCTTTAAATTGGAATTCATGTCAAGAATTGATATATGGTGAGTCACGTGTGTCATTAGTATGCCTACAAAATAAATTTTTTTTTTCAAAAAAAATAAAATAAAAAATAAACCACCAAATAAAAATTTTGTAAATCAATTCGCAAAGAATAATTTTTTATTACACCCTTTGTTTTCGGAGGGCTTTCATAACTCGCAATTTAAATTAAATTATTCAATGATTCGGTATTGTTTAAATTAAGAAGTTTAACTAGTGCTTGCTTGCCTATACACCTGCTGAATAAAATGCATGTATATATTTATGTATACAATCAGCCACGGTCTACTTCAAGTGGTGTCTCTCTTGTTTTTTAAACGATGGATAAGTTTTCATCTAACTAATTTATATTCTAAATGTAGAAAGTTCGAAATTCTCTAGGAACTATTTTTTTGACAATTTTTCGGTTTATGTGGGATGGGACTGCATGTATTAGGAAGTGATATCCAACCTTCTCTTTTCCAAATTAATAGGGTAAATCCGTAAATCTTTGGAAATATTTTAGTCCTTCACGGGTCTAAAGAGCCCAATCCAGTGGCGTTGTAAACTTCACGGGTTTAGTCCTGAATCCTGATGGTATGTTTCCAAACATAAATTCCGAGTTTTGAGTTTAGAATTAAAAGAAATTTAATTTTAATTTTTTTTAATTTTAAATTTAAAATGCCAATTTAATACTCTCAAACATAAATTAATATTTTTCTTAATAAAAAAAGAATAATGCTACAAATAAATGTGTATATTGTGCAACTCTAATAAATAATAAATTTTTTTTTTCACTAATAAATAATATTCAATAGCCACTTTTATTAGTATTAGATAATTAAAAATACAATATCTTGTTCCAAGTGTTACACTCAATGATAAAATTTAATTATGTTAATCACTTTGATAAAACTAGAGGTTGTATTTTTATTCAATATTTACAAAAGTGATTGTTGAAGATAATATTGCTAATTGGGGTCTGAACTTTCTATTTTAGAATTCCAACCAAAAATTAATCCACCAAATTAACGGTCACAAGAAAGCCCCAGTGAGTGCGACCCTGAGCTCCAGCATTGATGGGGCACGCGCAACGAGTCAATTTTTTCTTTTTTGTTAAAATTTACAACTACCAGTCAACTTTCTTTTTTTTTCGAAAAAAAAAAGTGAATGCTTGGTATATATGAGAGAGCTACTTCTGCATCCGGATGAAAAGTGAACGTGTGGTATATATGAATGGGGTGTTAGTTCACTTAATAACTTAAGTTGTTGGGTTAGGAATAGCTTTTGGGTCAAATTATTAAACACTCATCCGTTATAAAATACCATTAGGCCACTTTGGTCTAGTCACTTTGTGAGTTGTATAAATATCTAATATATATACACAGAGAGAGTTAGTAAATCAATTTGTCATGACCAACATGTCAGTAGCCTAATGGTATTAGTCTCTTACTAAGGTTAGGGATTCAATTATCAGAAAAGACGTGTGTACGTGAATATCAATTAGGGAAAAAAAAAAAAAAATCAATTCGATGTTCGAACGCACAGTCTACTTCAAGTGTTTTCTTTTGTTTTTCGAAATTCTTGAGAAAATTTTTCAAGAAAGTTGCGAAAAAATATTGCTTTATAAGTTTAGAAAAAATAAAAGTGATTGTAATTCCCAAAATTACCTTTTTAATTATAAGATTAGTTTGAGATATTATCATATCTCTATAATTATGAAGAAAATTAAAATTCTGTATTATTTTTATTTTTTATTTTTTGACAATTGTTAGGTGTCATTTTTTTTTTTTCAAATTCCAACTACCGGGTCCACCTCATTCCAACTACCGGTCCACCTCTCTCTCTCTCTCTCTCTCTACACGTACATATATATAGAGAGAGAGAGAGTTAGAATTCTTATAACTTTGTCAATTTTTGTGGGAAAAAGGAATAGAAAAAAAGAAATGGGTGGAAGGCTGCTGAGTGTGAGTGAACTGAGACCTTTGTTTCACTTTCTGTTGCCTTTATTCGTTCACGGGATCGGCGAAGTGATTCCCATTCCGGTGCTCGTCGATGTCACCACCAGAGCTCTCTGTCCCGGAGACACCACCTGTTCTCGAGTTATTTACATCAACGGTATTCAGCAGACGGTACTCTCCCTCCCTCTCTCTCTCTACAAATTACATTCTGATCTCTCTAAAACTCCTCTTTTTTTTTTTTTCCTCCTTTTCAAGATTCACATTCCTTAGTCCTTGTATTAATTTTCGTTTTCCTGCAACTTTTCCAGGTAACCAAACGGAAAATTTTCTTTTAGAATTATTAATTTTATGTACAAAAGCTTTGGATTTTAAATCATAGGAGTTAACGAATGAAAATTCTGGTAGCTGACAAACTTTGGATATAGTAATTGGTAGCCAACAATTATTTTATTTTATTTTTTTTTTTTTTATTTATGACAAAACTTAGGTTCCTGACCAATCATATCAGACCACGTCAACAACAAAAAATACAGTCAGCGTTAATAAGAAGCACACGTCAGTACCTTTGATCAGAATGAGTTTCTCTCTCTTCGTTTTCTCTCCCCTCACGACTTTGTCTCCGATGACGACGATGACCACCACTTGTTGAACCCCGACAATCACTTCTAGCCCGACATCCAACCCAACGCTGGCCACCCGTCCTGGGCTGCTTACCCCTCCAGAAACTGACCCATTCGCTGCCAATCAGCCCCAAACTGGTTCTTCCGTCGAAGACCTCTCACCGATCGTTTTCTCTCTCCTCCCAACGACGACTTTTGTCTCCGCCTCCGCCGCCGCGGACGACGACCACTTGTTGAACCCCTACCATTACTTCTGGCCCGCCGTCCAACCCAACGCGGCCACCCCTCCTCGAGCGCGGCGGCTTACCCCCAGAATCTGACCCGCTCGCCGTCGATCAGCCTCAAACTGGTTTTTACGGCGAAGGGGTCTCACCGATTGCACGCACTCTTCGACTTGGTTCCTCCGAGTTCGTGACTGTGACGAATTTGCGAGAAAATTGGAGTGCTTGTGGAGAATCAGAGTCCGACTACTGATTGGAAATTAAAGTTTCAGAAGGACTTCGAGCGCCGATTCAACCTCTCGCTGTTCCGATTCCCTCCGCTTTTCCGGCCACCGTTGCCCAGTTTAGCCTCTACTACAGCCGCAAAAACCTAAATTAACACAAACAAACAAATAATGTTCCGGGACCATTTATGAGATGTTGGTCGGGACACTTCTCCAATGATCCATTACTCTAACCATCGCATTAATATATCATATCTTCTACACATGATCGAAAGCATTTGGTTGTGCCGGATACATTCGGCTTTTATTCAAATCTTTGTTTTGGGAGGCCTTATGATATATAAATTCTAATTTAAGTTGAGTTATTCAATAATTCAGTATTATTTAAATTAAGAAGTTTAACTAGCTCGTACTTGTTAAAGTTGTTAATTTAAATTGAGTTGTTCAATGATCCGTTAGATAAAGATGTAAACTTATTTTGAGATGGGGTGGTAGTTGCATGAAACTTGCCTATACACTTGCTGAATAAAATTTGTGTATATATATATTTATATAGATAATCACGGAACATCTAGTTCAAGTAATGTCTCTTGTTTTTATCAAGTGGAAGAGTTATAATTAAATTTTCTTAAAGGACATTGTAAATGTCGAAAGTTCGAATTCTCTCAATAATTGTCATATATATCTGGTGTGTGTTGAGAAAAAATTTCAACGGTGTTCTATAAAGTATGTTTCGGAGATTCATGCCTTGCTTCACAATCTTCTCATAAAATGTAACAAACCTTACTCTTATTTTCATTGTTGAACTCCTGTTACCAACAAAATTATAGACCGCCCAATTAAAGGTCAGTCGGTTGCACGTGACTGACACACTTCAGCACGTGCGAGCCTGTGCTAGTCACCTTCCAACCGCACCGCCTTTTTTTTTTTGAGAAATTTCCAACCACCTTCTTACTCTATACGTTTGTATATATATATATATATATATATCCACGTCTATATATAGAAAGAGAGAGAGAGAGACGGTTATTATCTAATTTATCTTGAATTAATTATATAAATATGTCTATTTCTCTATATAACTTGGTGATCGAGTTGTGAAATAATTAAGAAATTAAGAGAGATGGGGTGGAAGCTGTGTGTGAGAGAGCTGAGACCTCTGCTTCACCTGCTGTTGCCTCTCTGCGTTCACTGGGTCGCCGAAGAGATGACCGTTTCGGTCCTCGTCGATGTCACCACCAAAGCTGTGTGTCCCGGACAATCCACCTGTTCTCAAGCAATTTACATCAATGGTATTCAGCAAACGGTATTCCTGGCCTCCTCTCATCTTCTCTCTCTAGAAATTGAATTCTCTCTCTAAAATGCATATCTCGAGTCGAGCTCACGACGATGGAGTTTAAGGCTAGTCTGAGACCCTTAAATTGGGCAAAATCAAAAATTGTCAATGACATTGGCTAATATATGATTTAATATGATTTCCATTCACACACACCCTATATATTGTGTTGTATTTATTTATTTATTTTTTTCTCTCTTGTTATGTTTTTAGAAAATTTTGATTATTATATTTCTTGTTGTTTAGGTTCACCAAAAAGTTAAATGAAAGCAACCCAATTAGCTAAATGCACTGTTTGAGTGGTAACATTGTCAGGTTTTTCTTTTAGATGATAAAAATATTTGTTTACTTATTCATAATCCTTCATACTTATTTTTCTTTTCCTTTTCCTGCAATTTCTCAGAAACCAAATGGAGCTTCAATTTATTTCTTTCATATTTCTAGTGGTTGATCTTGGTTACACCTTTTTATCTTTCTTTATTACTGGTTTGGTGGCATACTTTTGTAGGTGTGTCTACCACTATTAATTTTCTGTTTTGCATTTTATATCATATATTAGAAGTTAGTGCAGATGCAAGAAACTTTGGGTATGTATAGTTCAGGTAAGAGTTCTTACAAATAGAACTGATTTAAGATAATCATTAAAAAACATTATATGAAAATAAGTTTTATTTTGAGATTTTTTATAAAATAATTTTTTTTATAAAAAAATTCAAATAAGTTGTACAATATTTTAATTTTCATTTCTATTCTCTTAAAAATAAAAAACTATTCTCCAAAAAACTAAATTTGGATTTATTGGCTATATAAATTTGGCTATTTATATAAATTAACATATTAGGAGCAAATATTTTTTCTGGTTAAGTAAATACTGATACACGCAGATGCTCTCCATGGAGCTTAAATCCCTCACCTCCCTTTTGAGGGAGGATAGTTTATATGGGCTTGAGGGATTATATATTTTTTTCTCTTTCATGAAAGGTCAAGCAAACACACACCCATACACTGTATATATTATGCCTCCACCGAAACTCGGACAACCAATCTCTCCATTTGGAGATGAAAATTTATACCGTCTGGACTAGTGCCCATTGGTATTATACATTGAGGGTTGTAATTATAGGATCAATATTAAAATTTAGTGGATGAAAAGTTCTAATTGACTGATTTAGGATCATTTGATTTTGTTTTATTTATTTTACAAAGCTGAGGTTGTTCCATTAGTCTTAAGGGTGAGAATCCATGTAGCTGGGTGAGGGCTCATTAAAGATACCTTATCTTTATGGACTGACCATCATAGTGGGGACTTTTTTTTGTCTTTTGCTTAATGTAAATGGATTTTGATTCATTTTGGATTTGGGAAGAGTTTCCTACTAAAAATGAAATAAAAAAGGCCATGGTTGCTCATGAATAAAGTATATGTTATATAATTTTGTGTATGGGTCCTATTGATGTCGTAGTTGTGGTCTATTTGTTTTTAAGCTTTTGGTTGCATTTTCAAACTTGCTATATACATAACATTTGAAAAAAAAAAATGATGTATCACTTTCATAATCAAGTAGGTGTACCATATAAAATTAAAATATTTAAGAAATGATATATTTAGTCCATGACATGATCATTATCCATATTTTGAATTAACAAATACCTGCTACTAAAAAAAAAAAAAAAAAAAAAAAAAAAATCTGATACTGTTTTGATGTTTTCCTGTTAAATTAATAGCCTTAGCATGTTAAATTTATACTAGTTATTTTGATTGTATTAGACTATTTTGCAAAACCCAAATGATTTAGATACAGCTAAGTTGTTGAAATTGGGATGAAGAATCAAAAGTAGAAATTGTGAGTTGTTTTGTGTGGTCTATGAGAACCCTACCCCATTAGTGCACCTAAGGTGTATGAGAAAATGCAAGTAAGAAGAAAAGAGCAGTAACAACAAAAAACTGATCCATTTCTCTCTTTGAAACTCCTTAAATCCATCAAATGTGCGCAAATGCGATTGTGTTTTTAGGTAGGGTGAAGGACATACAAATTAGATTATCACTATGCAGCAAGCTTGACTCCCTGATCTATGTCCGAGCTTTTAAGTTTTCAATTTTCAAGAATAAAATTTTGATTTGTGGAATTTATTATAATGGTGATAAAAACCAAGCTTTCCTATATTCTTTTGTTTTATATCAGTTGTATTTGGTCGACATATAGATTAGCGTTCGGATGTTTTAGCTCCAAACAGTTTAGACATGCCTTACCCCAACAGGAATGAGCTATTTTCATGAAACTAGAAATTGGAGGTTAAGGCAGGACAATGTTCATGTTGATGATTTGTATAATTTCGATGTATGGATTTATGATTAAAGCAGTGATAAAAGTGAGCTTCTCAATCTCCTTTTTGTTTTGCTCATATTGATCCATTATGCATCTTTGCATCTAGCATTGGGTAGACCTCATACAGTAACTGTCCCAGCTCTATCGTATCTTTTGTTTCATTTTTTCTGGAACAATCACAAACACGTTTTTGATTATGGATCTACTACTACCAGAAATTCAATGCGTAATCTCAGCATTCAATGGGTATTCGTGAATAATCTCATTTTTCAATTATTCATCAATTTCATTTTACCAAGTTCAATGTTAGGCAGATTGGTCAACATATCAACGGTGTACTATCAAGGCTTATGCTTATCTTTGCTCTTGTAGGTCGTTGGAATTTTCAAGATGGTGGTGCTTCCAGTCCTAGGCCAGCTTTCCGATGAGCATGGGCGTAAACCACTGCTTCTTATTACAATATCCACTACTATAATTCCTTTTGGTACGTAATAGAATTTTGACTTAACTTTTGGTGAGATCGTCTTAAATTTCTTTCTCAACTTACTCTTTGGTTGTCACACTTGAAAGTTAAATGCTAGCTACTTTCCTGTTAAGCATTTTGCTTCCCCTTTTTATTTTATTTTATTTTCTTTTTATTTTATTTTTAAATTTTCAAATTAGTCTTTGAATATCTAAAATGTTCCTAATGGACAGAGAATATATACGCGAACCATAATGACAATTGGTAAATATGATTAATGGATAAGCTACCTCTCAATTAGTCCTTGGCTTTGAAGAAACAAGAATAATTTTCCTGAAAGCAGAAGACATATTTCATGGCCTAGTTATCATCTCTTGATGGTCAATCAGTGAAAGGACACTACTTTGCAAATTACACTCTGCCTCTAGTCTTGCCACAAGTGTTCACAAGGTTTCCTATGCCTGATCTTTTCATGTTCTTGTTCAGGTTTACTTGCGATCAGCGAGTCGAAGGAATTTGTGTATGCTTATTATGTGATCCGTACATTTTCATATATTATAAGTCAAGGGAGCATTTTCTGCATTGCTGTTGCATATGCCGTAAGAATTTTTGTTCAATTCAACCTTTTAAAAAATCTTGCCGGGGAAATACTGGGAATCAGCTTTTATCTTCCTCTTGCAGGCAGATGTTGTTGATGACAGTAAGAGAGCTGCAGTTTTCAGTTGGATTACAGGCCTCTTTTCTGCTTCGCACGTCTTGGGAAATCTCCTAGCGCGTTTCCTTCCTGAAGAATACATTTTCGAGGCATGTTGGTGCAGAAAACTATAGCATTTGCTCATGCTGTTTCTCTCTATCATTCCTAGTTGTTAATACTGATGAAGCTTCCTGTTTCAGGTTTCGATTGCTCTCTTGATCTTTTGTCCGGTCTACATTCAACTATTTATGCCTGAGACAGTTCACCTGACTCCGAAACAGGACAAAAGTTCATTTTGCTTGCACAAGGCATTCAAGGTTGTTCAGGAACGATATAACTCAATGAAATATGCCGCAATTATTGTCATCAACAGGTATTTCTGTTCGTATGCCAGATTGATTTTTGTGGTTACGTAGAAATATTGCAACAACATATTATTTTATTCTCTACAGAAATTTTAATGTGGACAAAGTGTGACATTCTGTTTGCCTGACCTCATTTTACTTCTCAGTCCAACACTTAAGGGCATTTCTCTTGTTTCCTTCTTCTATGAGATGGGAATGACAGGCATCAGCAGTGTCTTACTGGTATGTTGATCGTTAGAAGCTGCACAAAATTTCATAATTTCAATATTCTACAAATGACTAAATTATAACATTATCTAAAAACTCGTGTAACTTTCTTTTATGTCTGCAGTACTATCTGAAGTCGGCTTTTGGTTTCAACAAAAATCAATTTTCAGAAATTTTGATGATGGTGGGAATAGGATCAATTGTGTCTCAGGTATTCCTTTTCGAGGTTCTTTCTCTTATATTTTACTTTAGAGATCCTGAAAGCATGAAACATGCTTGTAACTTGATACTGAAGATCGCGAGAGTGTCTCAAATCTGAATCCATTTATGAACAATAATGTCAGCACACGAACAAATTGTTTTTATTATCTGTTGAATATTTTTGTTGTGTGCCCTTATTCCAATTATTCCTCAAGAATTTGTCCCCTAACCATATGCTTCATTTTGCTGTTTGCTTTAAGATGTTGGTGCTTCCTCTACTCAATCCATTGGTCGGAGAGAAAGTGATACTTTGCTCATCCTTACTTGCATCAATAGCTTATGTAAGTTTTTCAACACTAGCTGAATTCAATCCCTGAGCCTGAGGACTTCATCTTATATCAGTGCATATTTAAATGATTTTAATGTCAAAGAGTTCATTTTGTTGTGCAGGCATTGCTTTATGGCTTGGCATGGGCTTCTTGGGTATGTATTTTTTCGTACTAATAAATGTCAAACTATTATCTGTTTCAAAACTAAAATTCTTACACTAGCAGGAAAAAGAATGTTTGCATTTAAAGTTTCAAATCTGTTGCTTATTGAAATCAATGCCAAACAGGTACCATACCTGAGTGCTTCATTTGGAGTCATCTATTGCCTTGTTAAACCTGCTGTAAGTATATTTCCTATGACTATCCATTTTGTCTGGAAAATATGTCAATCAATTTATGATGTCAAATTTGATATTTTCTCCTTCTTTCTGTTGATTTCTTGATATGACAGACTTATGCTATTATATCAAAAGCTTCAAGCTCGAACGATCAGGTTTGTGAAGTCATAGTGCATCCCTACGCAGTGTCATAGTAAATATCATTCAGAGTTATAGACATGGCAAAAACCCAAGCAAAGACAAATTTGGGGCATAAAAATGGGGAAAAACTCATTCCCAACAGCCTTAAAATTTTAAAATTCAGTCTGCTTCCTTGCTTGACTTCGGTGTCTTGGTCGAAATTTTTTTCATTGCAATTCAGTTTCACATACTTCACATTCTTCTATCGTCTTCTAAGTCCAATATGAATCACAGGGGAAAGCACAAGGGTTTATTGCTGGTGTGGAATCAATATCAAGTTTGTTATCACCACTTGCAATTAGTCCATTGACATGTAAGTTGATTTTTCTGTTTGTTTCAGTTGAACATCAGAACCATTTTAACTAACTTACCTAACTGCTGACTATATGTTGTCTCAGCATTGTTCCTGTCCAGCAATGCGCCTTTCGACTGCAAAGGTTTCAGTATTATCTGTGCATCGTCATGCATGGTAAGCCTTCTCTCTCTCTCTCTCTCAAACACACACACGCACAACAAACACACAACCTGACTGCACTATTCGTCATCTCAGGTGATTGCCCTCGGTTGTGCTTGGATGCTAAAACCAGAAGCACCACCAAAGAATGATTTGGAGGCTAATGTAGATAACATTGAATCGCCACTTCTGTCATAGAAGGTGGCAGTATAATCCTAGATACTCCTCTTAGGCTGCAATGTAATCAAATTTTGATGTTTCTTGTGCCAAGTGTTGTCGCTAATATAGAATGTAAATATCTATGTAGTCTGCCATTTTCTGCTAGTTTCATTCTCTCATAGAAAATATAGAACATTGAATTGTTTCTCCTGCAACAGGAGAATGTATTGTAATTATTTTTCATGCTCCACATAAGAGTGGTGTGTTAAATGATCTAAAGGTATGTGATGTCACGAAAATAAGTGAAGCAAATTCTAATTTATTGTTACCACATCTTCCATTGCGTTGCACTCCATTGGCTCGTATTGTATTTGTATCTATCATACCAGATACATCTCTTCGGCGAACAATGTAAACCAGGGAGTTTTTATCCACTTGATGTGGTAGGTAAATTCAGGTGTGAATCCTGTACACTGGGGATCCCGCTGCCCGGGGGGGTGTTTACTATACCCAACCAATATATAAGTGTATGTATGTTTGTATTATTACTAGTATTTGCCCACCCAGAGAAATATTAGCCCACTCCGTTGACAATTCCTAAATTCGACCTTGATCCTGTAGATTTACTACGTCACTAGATAGAAACTCTCCAACTAACAAATAGGTTAAGAATTTGTTTGGTTAGATGGAAAAAGAATCGTAATAGAAAATATAGTTTCCCGCCTTAACTAGTTTCTCCAAAAACTTTTTTCTCACAAACACTTCAAATAATATTGTTTTCGTCAAAATTGTTTCTTTTTATTTGACGTTTCTATTTTATCCAATAACTGAATCATGTAAAACAACTAAATGAGTTTCTTTTCTAATTTAGTTTCTTTTTTTATTGAGTTTCAAAGAAGCAAGTTCTCTAACAATTTTTATTTTAGTGGAGTTCTAAAAGGCAAGTTTTCTCTAAACATGTTCTTTTGTAATACAATTTGGACTTTTTCTTTTTATTTTCTTCTTTCTTTTTTTTTTTTCTTTTTTTTTTTTTTTTAAATATATACATTGTATCTAATATATATACACTTCTATTATATATACCAGAGAATAATATATATTTTGCTATTTTTATGTTCTCCAGTTAAAAGCCCGTGAGCCCATTTTTTTTTTTTTTTTTTTAAGCTTCCTCATTTTTTTTTAAAATGAATAGTTAGTTATACTTGTACTTAAAAAGTCTTGAAATATTATTTTAATTTAAATAACATAAATGAATATAAATAATGATGTTATTAAATTTAATAATTCATTATTTTATTAAATTTTGTTAATAAATTTAATAATTCATTATTTTATTAAAATTTTGATAAAAATAGACATCATCAAATCAAACACCTTTTAAGTAAAAAATGAGACTTCATCAAGCCACCAAATTAACGGACAAGTACCAGCACGTGCGACCCTGAGCTCCAACATTGATGGGCACAAGCAACAACCAGTCAATAATTTTTTTTTTTTTTTTTTTTTCAAACACCAGTCAACTTTTTTTTTATTATTTTTTTTTCTCTTTGCAACAACCGGTCAATTCAAAGTCTAATAATTGGGCGTTATTTTTACCTAATAATTTAAGTTTTTAAATTAACGGTAGTTTTTGAATTGAATAGTTAAGTATCCATTTGGTACAAGATATCACTGTATCACAGAGACTTTGATCTAGTCACTTTGTGAATTATATATATATATATATATATATAGCAGGAGAGAGAGAGTAAATCAATTCACTGTGTGAGAACAATTTTTTATTTCCCCCTGTGTTTTCGGAGGCCTATCATAACTTGCAATTTAAATTAAGTTATTCAATGATTTAGTATAATTTAAACTAAGAAGTTTAACTAGTAGTGCTTGTTAAAGTAGTAAATTTAATTAAGTTGTTTAATGATTCGGTGGATAAGATGTAAACTATAAATTTCTTTTGAGATGGGGTCGTAGTTGCAAGAAACTTGCCTTCACAACTTGCTGAATAAGATGTATGTAGACAATCGGTCTACTTCAAGTGTTGTCTCTCTTGTTTTTTAAACTATGGATAAGTTTTCATCCAAGTAATTATACTGTGAATGTCGAAAGTTCGAAATTCTCTAGGGAATGTTTTTTTTGACAATTGTTCTGTTTTTTTTTTTTTTTCACATTCTAACAACCTATCCACCTCTGTGTGTGTGTGTGTGTATATATAAAGAGAGAGAGAGAGAGAATTCTTATAACTTTGTCAATTTTTGTGGGGAAAAAAAGAAAAGAAAAAGAAATAGAAAAAAGAAATGGGGTGGGGAAGGCTGCTGAGTGTGAGAGAACTGAGACCTCTGCTTCACCTTATGTTGCCTTTATTGGTTCACGGGATCGCCGGAACGATGACCATTCCGGTGCTCGTCGATGTCACCACCAGAGCTCTCTGTCCCGGAAACTCCGCCTGTTCTCAAGTTATTTACATCAACGGTATTCAGCAGACGGTACTCTCCCTCCCTTTCTCTACAAATTACACACTCTCTAAAACTAAAACTCCTCCTTTTTTTTTTCAAGATTCATATTCCTTAGTCCTTGTATTTTTTTTCTATTTCCTGCAAATTTTCTGGGAACCAAACTTAAAATTTTCCTATAAAATTATTAATTTTATGTACAAAAGCTTTGGATTTTAAATCATAGAAGTTAACGAATGAAAATTCTGATCGCTGGCAAACTTTTGATATAAACAAGCTTGGGATAAATTTATTTATTTATTTATGACTAACTTAGGCTCCTGACCAATCAACAAAAAAATACAATCAGCGTTAATCAGAAGCACACGTCAGCACCATTTATCAGATACTGTATAAGTTTCTCTCTCTTCGTTTTCAATCGGCCCCAAACTGGTTCTTCCGTCGAAGAGCTCTCACCGATCGTTTTCTCTCTTCTCCTAACGACAACTTTTGTCTCCGCCGCCGCCGACCACTTGTTGAACCCCTACCATTAGTTCTGGCCCGCCGTCCAACTCAACGCCGGCCACCCCTCCTCGAGCGCGGCGGCTTAGCCCCAGAAACTGACCCACTCGCAGGCGATCAGCCCCAAACTGGTTTTCCGGCGATGAGATCTCACCGATCGCACGCACTCTTCGATTTGGGTGTAAGGCTAGTCAAGATCCTTAATCATGGGTCACCCTGCGGGTTAAACTTTATCTTGTTTGATCAACACGCTGGTCAGAATTATCTAAAACTTCATATGAGGGGCAAGTAAATTTATATAAAGATATTTTTTTATAATTTTAGTGGAAGTAATTTTAAAATTTTATAAACATAAATGTAAAAATAATATAAATTTAAAGATATAAAATATAATAATATAAAATTTCAGTAGAGGCACTGAGGCGACTGTAGATCGGTGAGGTGATTTAATATGATTTCCATTCACACTCTCTCTATGTATATGTTTTACTTTTTTTTTTCCGTTCTCTTGTTATATTTTACAAAATTTTGATTATTATATTTCTTGTCGTTTACGTGCACCAAAAAGTGAAATGGAACCCAATTAGCTAAAAACACTGTTTGATCGGTAACATTGTCAGGTTTTTCTTTTAGATGATAAAAATATTTGTTTACTGGTTCATAATCCTTCATCCTTATTTTTCTTTTCATTTTCCTGCAATTTCTCGGAAACCAAACAGAGCTTCAATTTATTTCTTTCATATTTCTGGTCGTTGATCTTGGTTACACCTTTTTAACTTTCTTTAGTACTGGTTTGGTGGCATACTTTTATAAGTGCGTCTACCATTATTAATTTTCTGTTTTGCATTTTATATCATATATTAGAAGTTAGGGATGCAAGAAACTTTGGGTAGTTCAGGTAAGAGTTCTTAAGAATAGAACTGATTTAAGATAATTATAAAAAATCGTTATATGAAAACAAGTTTTATTTTGATTTTTTTATAAAATAATTTTTTTTTATTTTAAAAATATCAAATAAGTTGTACAATATTTTAATTTTCATTTCTATTCTCTTGAAAATAAAAAATAAAAAACTATTCTCCAAAAAATCTAAATTTGGATTTATTGGCTATATAGATTTGGGAATTTATATAAATTAATGTATTAAGAGTGACACAAATGCTTTCTACGGGGCTTGAATATCTCACCTCTCTATGGGCTTGAATACCTCACCTCCCTTTTGAAGGACGATAGTTTATATTGGCTTGGCCCATTAATATTAGGAGGGATTGGTGATTATGAATGCTGATACATTTTTTATTTTATTTTAATTTTATGTAATATATTGTACATTGAGGGATTATTATTATTATTTTTCTTTTCCGAAAGGTCAAGCAAACACACACCCACACACTATATATATTATGCCTCTATCGAGGCTCGAACAACCAACATCTCTATTTGGAGATGAAAATTTATACCGTCTGAACTAGTGCCCATTGGTATTGTACATTCAGGATTTTAATTATAGGATCAATATTAAAATTTAGTGGATGACAAGAAGTTCTAGTTGACTGATTTTGGATCATTTGTGTAACGACCCGAACTCGAGGGTCCGAATCGCTAACCGGGTCCTTACCTGAACCCGAGGTCCACTAAAAACGTTACCGTCCTTTCCTATATCAGTACATAATATACGTGTCATCCTAGGAATTTATAATTAATAATAATAATAATAATAAGATGAGATTATAGCTACAAAATATATCAAACAGTCCACTAACCCATCAAAACCTATGGAGGAACGTCGTCCGCCACTTCTTTCCCGTGACCTAAAAAATGTTAAAATGATGGGGTGAGCTAAACGCTATGTAGAAAGTGTCTAAGACGCACTTTTTATGACCCCGTGAATCCACATAGAGAATAGAAAGTAAGAGAACGGGATCATATATCGGGAGTCAAGTAAAACCACTGTATCATCAACAAACATACATATCTCAACCAATTACCAAATGCACTACGTATGCCAATGATGTGCCATGCCACGCAATGTCACTCCCCGTTTCCGAAACCATACCGTTTCAACTTTCAAACCGTTAGTGTAATCCGACCTAAGGCACCTCCAAGGCGTCACGAAAGGAGGATTGGCTAACCATCCATGACCACAAGGCACCTCCAAGGCGTCGCATCCGGCCTGGTTAGCTCAACCACATTAGGGTCTCTCCCTAGTCCCCTCTCTAGACTACACTAACACCACGGACCACTAAGCGCCTCTTAGGCGTTCGGGTTTTTACAAACACTTTTCAAAAACTTTTCCCCAAAATAATCTCATTGGTTTTAAAAAAAATATATATACTTTTCCCCTTTTTTCTTTACCAATGAATGCTTCATGATTCCAAAT